AGGTAAGATTAATCCATTATACTATCAGTGGATTAATAAAATTGTACAAGAAGGAGCGCACACGCTGCCACTGTCAGCCTTACAGATTACTTAGGTGCACACAGGGACATTTTACTACTACTCTATCATACAAATTGCTATCTGAATCAGTCCATAGACATGGAAGATTGGAGGACTATTTCTGAAGATTTTGTTCTACCTCTCATCCTGTGATTTTATCTGGTTCCATTTGGAATCAGGCTTTTCTCCAAGCTATCCTGACTGACAATGAATCAAGATCTAAGACCTTAGGTTGCATCATATCTCATCCCTACTTTTTACATCTTCATCTATCTTGAATGGATTGATTTATTTCATTCATATCCCACCTTTCTATTCAAACAACTACTAACAATGGCTAACAGTATAGAATCATAGAAGGTAAGGGTGGGAAGGGATCTTGGAGATCATCTTATCCAACCTGCTGCCTAGTGCAGCAATCCAACTACTGTAGCATCTCTGACAGGTGGCCAATCCAGCCTCTAAATACTTCTGGTGAATGAGAGTCCACCACTGCCCAAGACGGTCTGCTCCACTGTTGAACAGCTCTTACCATTGCAATTTTTTTCTTGATATCCAACTAAAACCTGCCCCTTTTAAGTTTAAATCCATTCTTTCTTGTCCTGATTTCTGGAACAACTCTGAATAATTCTGCTCCATTTTCTACAAGACAGCCTTCAGATATATCCTGCAGTCTTCTCTTCTCCAGAATAAATAAGCCCAGTGCCTGCAACCATTCCTTATAAGGTTTTCCTTCCAAGCCCCTTATCATCTTGATTGCTATCCTTCCAGCATGCTCCAGTTTATCAATATCTATATATACTACTAAAACTCTAATTGTGTTTATCTGTTTGTCTGTTTGTACCCTCAGGTTAGTCCAAATGGTGCATTATACCACAAAAAGTTTTGAATCAAAATACCTAAAATCTGCTAACTTAAAGAATGCATTAAAAATCTAGAACCCATTACTCCTGTGGAATTGAAATTTCCATGAAGTTCACACCAGTTTTATTTGCAAAGTTGTGGCCGTTGCAGCATCCCCGTGGTCATGTGATCATGATTTCCAATGCTCCCTGCCAGCTTCCCACAAGCAAAGTCAATGGGGAAGCCAGCAGGAAGTCAGAAATCGCTCCCGCTCCCATTGCTTTTTTGCCCACCCATGGTCTTTCTGTTTATTTGATAAATATTGACTTATTATTGAAGTTTGTTTCCCACTACAATTATTTTTCTATTTATGGTATATACTCTTCTTAGATGATCATGGGACCATCCAGCATTGGGGTGAAAAAAAAAATGGTCTGCCTAAAATTTAATGTTCATTCTGGTCATATCAGACTACACTGCCTTTCTCTCAAAGGATGACCCAATGGGTCATGGGATTGTCTAGTCTCTCCTAAAGTATGATGCCTAGAACTGGATGCAGTATTCTAAATGCAGTCTGACCTATGCAGAATAGAGAGGAAAAATGTCTTCTTTTGATCCTGATTCTATACTTTGTTCATGCAGACTGGGATTGTATTTGTTTGTTTTTACACCTGTATCGTATTGTTGATTCATGTACAGCTTGTGATCCTGGTCCAAATATTGGACTTTGCATTTGTTCTTATTGAAATGCACCTTACTGTTTTCTGTCCATTATTTCAGCCTATCAAAATCCTCCTGAATCCTCTAAGATGTTCACTCGTTGCTCTATCTTTGTGTCATTTGCAAATTTGATAATAGTATTTTTAACCCCTCACTCAAATTATTTATGAATATGTTGAACCGATCTGGGCCTACAATGCAAACCAGTGGTATGCCACTCAATATTTCCTTCCACCTTGATGTAGAGCCATTAATGTACACTCACTGAATACAATTCAAACACAGAATTTTAAACAAAAAATTATAAAACATAAATAAAAAGTAATACTGAAATTAATAAACAATTAAGCACATGTAAATAGGAATTTCCAACATAGGGTTTTTTGTTTTAATTTAAGATGTGTTTGTTTGCAGAAATGGAAAGTTATAGTTTAACGTATCTTTGGTTCCAAGAAATCAGTCTGGAATTCTGGTTCAAGAGGAGACAATATAAAGGGGAGGGAAGTGCTTTATATTTTGGGAAAGTTACAGCCTGAGCTTGGATTGCCAAAGATATAATTATGTATTTACTGTTTTAATTTTGTGTAAATATTTATAATTTGATATTACTGAGTCAGGATCAGAGTTGACCATATGGACAAATGCTTGGCAACTCTCCTCCCTGGCTTTAGTGATAATCTATAGCTCTTCCAAGGACATTCCAGTAATCCTCTTTATTCATCCCTCTTATCTTCCCCTTCTTCAACTTCCCTCAGTGTTGCTAGGCATGGTTGTTTTTCTAGTCCATAATCTGCTTGCATCATATGCCCTAAGTGTGTGAGTTTCTTCTTCTTGATCCACATCCCAAGGGAGCAATCAGTCTTTTACTGCTGGTGGTTGTGGTTTACCCTTAGCTTCACTCTTGCCCTTCTGACCTTCCCAGCAAAGGTAACCATACCAGGAGCTCATGCTCCCATCAGCATTGCCGTTGGGGTTACTGAAACTTCTGAGTCCTTCCACTACATCAAAGTGGTAATTAAAATATGGGCATAATATAATTATGAAGGCAAGGTGCATTCATCAATAGATCTGGATTTGGATTTAACTGAATTGTATTAGTAAACTTACCTAATTCTGAAGTTACTTAAATTTTAATTTAATTATTTAACTTATTCATTTGTTTGTTTTTATTTAATTAAAGTTTAAATTACTTAAATTTCAATTGTATGTTATGCAATGTTGCTCAACAATAAATTGTGTGTGGGGGTATATGAGTGTATATATTCTTAAAAAGCAAGACAAACAGATAGTTGGAAAGTGATAACCAAACTGCCAGTATATGCACAGACTTGAGCAACCTTAGCAAAATGCGCTTATAATTGCATCCTGAAACGAATCAGGTTTGTTTCAAATAAATTAATGTTCACATTTTTGTCCTGGTCTGGCCAAAAGAATAATCAAATAGTCTTTGGCCTGCGTTAAAAATACTGAAGAACATCTTTAATGGTATGAAAATAGGGCAGTATTAAACATTCTAATCCAATATATAATAAAAATAATGAAACTTAACTCTAAAAGTAGGAAATGCATAAAACTGATAAGTCACATGGATGAGTTTGAGAGAAATCACTATAAAATGTTCACATAAAAAGTCTGAACTGGACCAAGTCATTATGTAAGTGTGGAGCTGCAATAGATAAAACCCACTTCTTAGGTTGTTTTATAATGTACTGTACTTGGAAAATACTTCCTCCATGAATATAAAAGACAAGCTAATTGATGTAAGTAGATATATGTTCATTCAAGCCCTGTATAAAAGTCTGAATGCCTCTTGATATGAATGGAGATACACCTCCATGTCTAGGACCAAATATTTTTTTAGGTAGCACGATCAAGTCTTATTTCAGCCTGGAATGACTAGAGACAAACATCTGTGGCGGCTGTTGCTGCTGCTGCTGCTGCTGCTGCTGCTGCTGCTGTTGTTGTTATTATTATCATCATCATCATCATCATCATCATCATCATCATCATCATCAATTGGATTGATGCTGAACATTCATTAAATATTTTTATGCACATACATTGATTTGTAGACGAGATCTATGGCTGGGTCCCTCAGTAATTTCTAAGTAAAAAAAACTTTTTTAAAAAAATTGAAAAAAATTTGAGAATTATTCAGTTCCTGTACCATTGAGGCAACTTCAGAAAGAACTTAGCAGCTCCCTATAAAATGTTCCTTTAACCCCCACTCCCAATTCACATTTTATATATTTATTCTGTAGTTATCATATAGTAACACAGAGATGCATATAATTTTCAGAGAATCTAAAACTAATGAACCATAACTTTTTGTAGGAAAATTCAGAGCAATTTGGAATGGGAGCTCTCTGATTCATTGCAGACAAGTAGCTGTATCTATTCCAAAGATCTGAGCTTCATTCATTGCAGCCAGGAGTTGTTAACTACTAGCATTGTGTTACTAAGGTATAGACCATTATATGACATAATCATTGCCCTTCTTGAATATATTGATAGCTAGGATAATTTTTCCCTAACCATGGTCACTTCCAAGGTCTCAGCTTCCATGGTCACTTCCAGATCTCACTTTCCCTCTTTGCAATCTTTTTGTTGTTGTTGCTTTAAAGTATGCTCTCGCACTCTCTCTATCATGATGGTACATTAGTGCCACTCCTATTTATGCCAACATGAAAGTAACTTGAAGACCCTAAATCATATCTGAGTGCAGTATGCTTGCTTATAGCTGCTTTTTTTCGACGAAGTGGATGTGACAGGATAGTTATTATTGCCAGGCTAGTGTCTTACGTTGCTGTTTATGCAGAAAGGCATGCAATTTTTCTAATTCCTTCCTGGCTCTTGGCATGGCTCCTGCTGGGTCCTGCTGCTTGTTGTCTTCCTACTCGAACATGTGCCAACTCTTTAATAATCAGTGGTGACCTCAGCCTCTTCTTACTGTAATTACTGCCTTAATTCATACCCCGAGGCGTCCTGCGGTGGAACTTGGGGAGTTGGTGGGCTTCAGCACCACACCAGCGGACAGCTCCTTCGAGTAGCCTGAAAAGCAGGACCGCTCCTAAGCTGCCTTCCCAAGAGAGATCCCGCGGAGAGCCGGGAAAGTGCTTGAGTGAGGAAAGCATGAGGGCACCTTAGCTCATGACCCGGAGTTAGTTAGCCACTTGCAACCTTCTCGCGTTGGATCAGTGGACTTCATGCAGCATCTCGTCTTTCTCAAAACCGGCCCTGTGATTTTAAACGGCGGAGATCCTCCCACTTAGAGGCGGGGAGTGGGTGGTCTCAGGGCGTTGGGAGCGCTTATAAAACCCCACCTCCCGTTTTAGGACTGCAGCTGTAATTGGCTAGATGAGGAGGCACTGGGAGAGATGTTAAGCTGGCTGCTTCCACCCATGGCTCTGCACACACACAGGGGCGGGTTGTGCCGGGGAGAGCGGGAGGCTGGGCTCCGAGGTGGCGGAGGCGGTGGAGGAGGAGAAAGCGGTGGCGGAGCCGATGTTTCCCCAGCCTGCCTGCCTCCTTCGGTGACCGAGCCTTTCCTGCTGCTGGGCTGCTGCCTGCGGCCGGCGGACCCGACTGAGCGAGGGCGGCTGCTGACGCCGCCGGCCGAGATGATGGCGGAGGGCGGCGGCGGCGGACAGCGACTCAAGGCGCTGTCCCTGCTCGAGGCAGCCCGCT